CCTGTCCCACTCTGGTCCTGCCCACTGGAGCCAGCCTGCCTGTGTCCCACCCTCTGATGCACGTGTATCCTCCAGGATCCCCACACCCACCAATGGTGCCATTGCCCACCTCTCAGCTGACCCACTCCCCCCTCTCTCTCCTCCACAGCTYGGACCCTTGTTCAGGAACACCAGTGTGGGTCCCCTGTTCTCTGGCTGCAGACTGACTTTGCTCAGGTGAGACTTAGGGTCCCTGGTGCTCCCAGGCCCCAGCAGTGTGGGTGCTTCCTTCCTGCCCCAGTGTCCTTCCTGTCCTCCACACAGATGGTCTCAGGAGGCATCAGGTCCTGTTGGGTTCCTTGCAACAAAAACTCAGGGTCACTCCAGGGAAATGGCTTCGGGAAATAAACACACAACAGACAAGATACCTTTTTCTTTGGGGGTCCTGTGACCCCTCCTCTGACTTTAAGGGTCCCCAGAAAGAGACAGTGAGCTCCTGCTTAATATATTATTGAGGTGAAGCCATTCAAATGAGGAAAGGGCTCAGGAATCAGGGGGCTGTGCCTAGCTTCGTGATGTCTGCTGTCAGCAGGTTGACTGACATCTAGGAAGGACACACCCAAAGGCAGAACAAGAGAAGGGACACACAAAGGACATTTACAAGGAACATTCTATTCCAAACAGGGCAAAAGGGTAACATCACAAACAAATAGGTGAGCGTAGCTCAATGCATGGACAACACACCTACGTCTGAACACAATTTTGCTACTTCAAGGGTCAGGCCAGTCAATAAACAGGTCACTACGAAAGTGACCCACAAAGCGTCTTCTGATAATGGGAAGGAAATGCCAGTCACTCAGCGAGTTCTCCTGTTAGTAGGCTTTAACAGGCTCTAGCCACAAGACCTCCTTTCACCCTTTTACTCTCTCCTCCTAACCTGTCTCAAATTCTGTACATCAGCATGACTGACCCTCTTCTCCCGCCTCACTTCTCCCTTTTACAAGAAGGGCATTTCCTCTAGATGATGGATTCTCTTGCCAGGATAAGTATACTTTCTACGTTTGCTTTAATCCTCAACTCCAGTTCTCCACCTGTCCCACCCAGAACTCACCTGTCCCCAAGCCATGAGGTTGGATGTTTTATACTCCACCTTCAGGACCATTTTATAAGAGCTGACCACTCTACCAGGGGGAGGCCGGCCAGAAGTCAGTGCATAGGATGACCAGGCTGGCTTCCCACCCTTCCAAGGCCTCCTCATTTTCTCTGTCATTTTTCTGCTGAGATGTATCTCTGGACCTTTCCATGAAAATGCACTCATCCCCCCTGCTCTCCCAGATCTGAGAAGGATGGGTCAGCCACCAGGGTGGACGCTGTCTGCACCTACCATCCTGACCCCGTGGGCCCCAAGCTGGACAGAGAGAAGCTGTACTG